CCATAGGATGGGGGTTCCTCCTTGATCCCCACCCTAAGATCTATCCGACTGCGACGAAGGAGTTTCTGGCTACCGTCGGCGTCACAGAGTTGATGAACAGTTATGGCGCGACGGTCTACTCGGTGGACTTCTGGATGAAGGGAGGATACCGCTCCCTGACACTGGACGAATTCAACGTCCAGGCTGGCTTCTTTCAGCGAGCCGATCAGCTGGAATATCGGGACGCCGTCTGTGAGTGCCCCGATAATCTGACCCCGACCGAGATGTGGAGAGAGGTCACGGGTCAGATGGATTACCACGCTGGAGTGAAGGGTACTCGGCTCCCGACTGCGCTCCGGATTTGCCACAAGCTGATCACCGGCTCCATCCATGCCAGACTGAAGAGTCCAGAGTCAGTGACGCGGCAGGATCTGCTGGCTCTTTACTGCATGGCCACCGGACAGAGGGCCAACCCCGGATTCTTTTTCCTCAAGCATATAAAGAATCTGGGGGCAAGAGATGGTAGCGACGCTCGGCGAGGATACATTATGGTCTCCACACTCCTTTCACGACTCGCCGAGACTTGGGGGTGCCTCGATGGCGTAGATGCGGGGTAGTTGGCGCCCAAGCCCATCAATGCTGCCACCCTGCTCAACGATTCTTTTTCCTCAAGCATATAAAGAATCTGGGGGCAAGAGATGGTAGCGACGCTCGGCGAGGATACATTATGGTCTCCACACTCCTTTCACGACTCGCCGAGACTTGGGGGTGCCTCGATGGCGTAGATGCGGGGTAGTTGGCGCCCAAGCCCATCAATGCTGCCACCCTGCTCAACATGAAGATCATTGCTAGGGCAGGGAGGCAATATGTACGAGCGACCACCCACGACACCTTCAGCGAGCTCTTCGAGAACATCGAGCTCCCGGGTGATGTGGACCCGCAGCCAGAGGCCAACACCTCGCAGCAGGACAGGGCCTACTTTGATGCTCGTTTCGACGCGTTGCAACAGAGCATCGACGCTCGATTCGACACTGCTCAGCACAGCATAGACGCCCTGAGACAGGATTTTGACAGCCTGTCAGTCTGGCTGCATCGTCGCTTCCCAGACCCTCCACAGGATCCGCCGGCAGAGGAGTGAAGACCGGCTATTTTTCTTGCTTTTTGTTTATTTGATTGATCGGGCTGTGCCCCACTCTTTTCATTACCATTGTACAAATTTCATTCCATTTAATAAATGAAATTTTCCACT